CTCCCCAACTCCCTCCACCCTCCCCTTCTGGTAGTCTCAGTTCTGAAGTGAGATGTCAAGGGTTAGTTTTGGTCTGTTTTTATGTTCTTGGTTTTGTCTTGTAAATTCCACATATGAGTGAAATCATCCAGTATTTTTTTTTCTCCTTCTGACTTATTTTGCTTAACATAATCCCCTCCTCTTCCATCCATGTTGTCCCCAATGGAGGCTTCACCTTTTTTATACAGCTGAGCCGTAGGCCACTGTCTACACATTCCGCATCTTCCTATCCACTCATCTGCTGTCGGGCCCTTCGGTTCTTTCCATAACTTGGCTATGATAAATAGTGCTGCGGTGAACACATGAGTGCATTTACCCCTGCGAGCTACCGTTTTTGTATTCTTCAGGCAGACACCTAAGAGGGAAGTTTCTGGACAATAAAGTAGATCTATTTTTACTGTTTTGAAGATTTATCTATTTATTTATGCATACAACAGCTGGGGTGTAGGCCAGAGGTGTGAGGGGTGAGAGGATTCACCAGAGACAGAGCGGGGAGCAGAACAGGCAGATTGACTGAAACACACTGCAGCGGGGAGATAGGAGAGGTCTGCTGCACCATGTGGGTCAGCTCTCTGGCTGGGATCGAACTCATGTTGCAGTGGCTGGTGAAAGCTTCATAGCGCTGAGACATAAACCCCCTGCACCACCCTGCATCCTTTTTTTGGTAAAATTATTTTCTAAGGAAAACCACTCCTTGATCTGGGCTCATTTGTGAGAGTTTTGTGTGCTCTGTGGCATCTTTGGTCCTGGAGCTCCAATTTTCCTAGCAGCTTTATGTGCTGTGAAAGATTGGGAGTTTGGTGTGCAGTGTATGTGTTACTAAATTGTGAATTAGTGAGACTTACCATGTAACAGCCTATCAGCATTTGAAGATATTGGCACTTGATATCCAATTAAGGAAAATTTGCCTCCAATTTTAAGCTTGAAAGTCTCGAATAAATGTTCAGAAAAGAATCACAACCGCTTGAGTCTTCAGATTTTTCAGTATGTAAAAGAGTCGTGTACAAAGTGAAATGTCTGTGTGCTGATTCTCAAAGTAACCATGAAGTCTGATGAAAGAAAAGAAAAAGGAAAAGCCAAAAGGAAAATCAGAAAGCACTTTGGAATGAAAGGAAATGAAAACACAACAGAGCGGGATGCTGTTAAAGCAGCAGGCAGGTGGCGATTTATAGGTCGAAGTGCACATTAGAAAAGAAAGATCTTCAACCCCCCTTTGCCCACACTCCCTGCCATGCCCTTGTCCCGTGACCCTGCAGTGCTCTCTTGCTCCGGGCTGGCTGTTCTGCCTCATGCCTGGATTCACCCACACCACTTGCTGTGACCAATGGGGTGTTACCTTTCACTTCACCCTCTTAACCATCACTTTAAGAACATGCCAGGGTTGCTTGCTAGAGAGAAGACACACACAGAGGAGAGACAGTCTGCCTCTGTGGTGCCAGCTAAGGCCACCCTCGATCGGCCAGCTGATATCACAGAGCCGAGATTCTCTGAGGCTATCCTGATGGTTTATGGTTCTTCTCTATACATTACTTTTGCAATAGCCAGCTGATAAGTAGGTGAAAGAAATGTTTAGTTAAGCATCTTATTTTGTGCATTATAGTCTCAGTTTTTATGACCGGAATTCAGTGTATGGGATCCTAATAATGGCTATAGTTCTACATGTGTATTTCCAGCCAGCTCATTCCTTTTTTCATTATTTCTGGTATTTCAGACAAAGGACACATTCTGATATCTCCACCCACAAAACCTGTGGCTTAGTTACAACCAGAGCATTGGGTCTACCTGAGGTGACATAGCCTTGACATAATGGTCACTTATGAGTGTTTGCTTGTTAATTTTAATTATGGATACACTGATAACATGGTTTGTAATATATTTTGCTAGAATATGAAACATAGAGCTCATCTAGTGTAAGATGCTGTGAGGAAAGAGGGTTAATCAACCTCGCGGCCACAGGACTATAAGCTGTCATGGAAAACAACCAGTGGACAAATTCAGTGTGATTCGAGAAGGCAGAAATTAAGTGGAGGACTGGAAATCATATAAAATATACCATCTCAACCTAAAGCCAAGTTTTCTGAACAAAAAATTCATGTCCAAGAAGGATCCAGAGATGACTTAAGTTTGAGTAATAAGAACAGTCACGTCCCTCCCCTTTTGGCTCTCCTGTGTGGCTCTCGTGGGATGGACCTGGAGTTTGCACTGCTCAACCCATAATTGCCTTCTGTGTGGCCTCTCCTTCCTTCTTGGTGCTGTAATTATCTGAGATGGTTGCAATAGAGCAATAGTTGCAGCAGGGTCCCTGCTGCTGCATTCCTGCAGGTCCTCAGGGGCTGCCTCTGCCCCTGGGGACATCACCTTTGCTCTACTTAAATTTCCATTTTGCTTTCATCCTTCTCATTCTAAGGACTTGAAGGTAGGGCCACAATGCAGAATGAGCTTGCGCTTGGGATGCCACAGGTTGGGTCACACTAACTTTTCAGTTTCTATGAGGAAACGTTCATTGCTTACAAGATGCCCAATGATTCCCTCTTCCATCCTCTGTCTTTAGAGAGGTGTGCATAATTACAGGGGATTTTCAGGTAAAAAACACCAAAAGGAAATTAAAAACACACTCTTCAATGAAGAATGGGATTTTATTCATCAATGAGCAGCACCTAAAACAAAATACAATTATATATTTCAAATCAAGATTTTTATAGTTTGTATAAAATTTTAATTTCAAAATTTAATTTTGACATTGTCTTGGATTTTCTTTATATTGTTTTACAACCTTTAATTGCCTTCCTAGAATTAAACACATCTTTTGTGTCCTTGCATCTACCTTTAGAAAATTGCTTAACAGAAATAACGAAAGAACTATTCAGGTAAGAGATGATAAATTTATTTTTATTTAAGTCAAATAACTGAGTATTTCTACGTTCTTAGTACATACAAAATTTCATGATTGTTAAAATTTACTGTTTATACATTTTTTAAAAAACAGTATGAATAATTTTTTAAAAAGTCCCTTTTCCTAAAGGGCAAATTACAGAATATTGGCTACCTCTTAATAAATGGAAGGTAGGGTGAAAAAGAAGATGCATTCACTTGTGGTATGGGAGGAAACTCCTTTCGGATACTGTGTGTTCCCTTATTCTGACTGGCATTTAGTAAGTGACCCATAATATTGACTATTCTTGAAAAATAATAGGGATCTCAAAGTAATTACTACCTAGTTACTGCAAATTGACTGATATAATTTTAGACAACATGATGTGACTGTTAAAAAAACACAAAATAAATAATACAAAAAATTTTCCTACTAAAACATGACCAGATATCCAGTTACGCGCTGTGAGATTGGTTGCTTTCACAAGGCCTTCTTACTTTCTCTAAAAATCTCTAAAAGCTTACCTGTTCCATTACCCACTTACATCTCATGACTGAAAGCTGAAATTCCTCTCCTAAGTCTTCATTTCTCTAGCCCTGCTTTTACAATAATATTTTGGAACAAGTGTCCTTACAGAAGTTAATATGGACACCTACTGCTTTTTCAGAAAAATCAATTTAATTACAGTTGTTTAAGCAGATTTCAATTTGTGTTGGCAAAGGAGATCTAAGAATCATGTTACTAAGATGTTGACAGTTTTCTCTGTGTGTGAACTCAGCTAACTGTTATGGGAAAGTTAGTACTGGGTAGAAAGGAGAAAGATCATGTGATGAGAAGTTAAGAACAATAAAGTTGGGCATTTGGGGAACATGGATAAAGAAACAGAATGGTTGTGTATATGAGGGAGGATGAGAGTCAAGAACAAAATTCGGGCCTCCCCTGGTGGTGCAGGCTGTTGAGCGCTGCACTGTGAAGCTGTCCACAGCCTCTGCAGTGCAGGTTTGATTCTGACCGGCTCGCGAGAACCCCACATGGTGAAGCAGACCTCTCCTGTCTCGCCCGCTGCTCCCTCGGCACTGTTTTTGGTCGTCTGCCTGTTCTGTTCCCTGCTCTGTCTCTGGTGAATTCTATCACCCTCCCCCACATCTAGCCTGTACCCTGGTTCTTGTATAAATAAATGAATAAATCTTAAAAAAAAAAGAACAAAATTGTCAGCTATAAACACCAAATGAAAAATGAACTCTTTTTCAATCATGTGCTGCTTCTGATAAGCCATCTAATCTCTCCCCTTTGTTGGATGGACTTAAATGCCAATTACTTTTAAAGTCTGAAAAGAAGAAAGAGATGGCTGTTATTTACTTGGAAAAACAAAGTTTTCAAAGTTACAGGACAAACAAATCGGGCTACCTAACTGTGGGCCAGATTCAAAGTTATCCTTTTGAAAATGTTAGGATCTCTTTGGATCTCTTTCTAAATGCAGACATCACAAAATTAGTTTTCAAGACTGATAAGTTTCTTTCTTAACCCCAAACTTTAGTCAAGACATTGTTTTGAAGTTTCCCTTTTTTTTTCACTTGCACAGATGTTTGAGGTCAAGTTGGCTTCTTGGTGGATTTGTACAGAAATTAGTAGGATCCATGGAGTCTCCTCTCGAAGTCTGAACTTTGTCCACTTCAAGAAGCTGAAGATGCATTCATTTTTCAAGGTTTTTAACTTAGGAGTGTGAACTAAATTTCATGGTAGCTTATTTTAAACTCTTATAAACTGCTTAAACATTAACTTCTCTTAATTCCACTGTTGTCCATGAAAGTGACGTTATTATAGTGGGAAGAGCACTGGATTTGGGGAACCACACTGGAAAACTATGAGTTAGGCTACTTCCATGTTGTGTGATGGTGGCCAAGGACAGCTACCTCATTTGCTCCCTCGAAGAGGGTACAGCAGTCATACCCCAGGTGACTGGATGGCAAAAAGGAGATAACACAAATTTCAATGTCTTCTAGAACAGGAAAGGCTATTTTATGATACCTGGAATTGGTAGAAAGTTGAGTTTTTAATCTCATCTTGTCCCTCTTGGCAGGTTGTTGCCATGGGTGACAAGGGAGCAGGCAACCACTCAGATGTAACTGACTTCATGCTTGTAGGCTTCAGGGTCCGTCCAGAGTTCCACATTCTCTTCTTCCTTCTGTTCCTGATGATCTATGGCATGGTCCTTGTGGGGAACATTAGTTTGATGGTGATCATTATGACTGACTCCCAGCTGAACACACCGATGTATTTCTTTCTAGGCAACCTCTCCTTCATTGACCTCTTCTACTCCACTGTCATTGCACCTAAAGCCATGGTCATCTTCCTGTCTGAGAGAAAGACCATCACCTTTGCAGGCTGTGTTGCCCAGGACTTCCTTTTTGCACTGTTCATTGTAACAGAGGGCTTTGTCCTGGCAGCCATGGCCTATGACCGCTTCATGGCCATTTGCAGTCCTCTTCTTTATAGTGTCCACATGTCAAGACGCCTTTGCATATACCTAGTGGTTGGTTCCTATTTCTGTGGCTGGGTCAGTTCTGCCCTGCAAGTCAGTGTAACATTCTCAGTGTCTTTCTGTACATCCAGAGTCATTGACCACTTCTACTGTGATTCTTACCAAATTGAGAAGATCTCCTGTTCCAATCTCTTTGTCAATAAGATAGTTTATCTTACTTTGGCTGCCGTTATTATTTTGCCCACAGTAGTTGTTATTATAATATCTTACATCTATATCGTGTCCACCGTCTTGAGGATCCCCTCCAGTGAGGGCAGGAAGAAAGCCTTCTCCACATGTGGCTCTCATCTGGGGGTTGTGAGTGTGCTTTACGGGACTGTCTCCTTTGTGTATCTCACACCTCCAAGCAATCCTGAGCTTCGTAAAGTGGCTTCAGTATTTTACATATTGATCACACCCATGTTAAACCCTCTTATTTATTCACTAAGAAACAAGGATGTCAAGCAAGCTTTGAGAAAAATTTTATGGAGGAAAAGAACTTTATCCTAATCCTACTTGCCTGTGATTTCCCTATTAATGGGCCATTGATTGATTCATTCTGATTTGCTTTTAATGTGAGGCCAAGTTGGGTCACTTTAGGATGACTATCCCATGATGAATTATTTTCACTGAAGGAGTGATACCAATACATTTTTCACTCTTCCTTAAGAGTCATGTTGTATCTTGGACATCAATAAAATATGTAGTGCTCTGTAAGGAAATACAATCCTCATTCTTTCTAAGTATAACTTTAAGATAGTGAGGGAAAAGAGAATTTTATTTTCCCTTTGGTTAGAAAAATTGTTTCAATAGTATATCAAGCTCAGAATATGCAATCTCTGATTGTTAGAGGAAGCATCAACCTGAGGAGTATGATGATTGATTTGTAATATTTAGTTTATTTTATAAAATCTTTTCAGAGTGACTTGATTCTGGGTCCATAATTTGTGAATAAAAATCATTGTATAAAAATTGTTTTTTGTTGTGCCATCTTGAGTTAAGCAGAACAACTCAAAAATCATGGGTGTTTAATTGTATCTTAGTGGTATTTGTGGTTATTATTGTTATTGCTTTATTATCATAGCAAAGAAATGGAGAAAGACATTCTGTATCCAATTTCTTAAAAAACGTGTACCCAAATCTATAAAGGGATAGCCGTTAGTGCTGGTATCCTATTTAAAGGGACAAAAATTGCATTAGATGTTCCAAATCATCCTATTACAGTTTGTACTGGGTTATTTTGTTTTCTTAAAAAATCACTACTTGTATGTAAAAATTTTTACTTGCTTTGATTTTGATATTTAAATTATACGTGACCTTTTAGTCTTTTTTTTTGTATTGGTGTTGTATTTAATGAAATTATTTGCATTTTTCAAATAATATTTTTGTTGCCATATTACCATGATTTTCCTGATTCAGGTTATTCTTTCAAATGCAAATTGCAAGTATTTAAAATCACCAAATATGATAAAATGAACAGAAAAGTTTGCTGAAAAGAAGTATCAAGGATTTGCTCCTATTGTATCTCTTTTACTTGTGTATTGTGGGATAAAATTGTAATACTGATGGGAGATACAGAGATGTAATAGATATCGAACTTAGTGTATGCTTGCCTGTGTCCATAATATGAGATATGCCAATATAGTCAATTAATTTTGAAAGGTCCCAGTGATCATGCAGTATAAACAACTTGTAGAAGTTAGAAATGGAGGGGCAGAATATGCAGGGATGGATAATGGCAGAACAGAATATTCTGTATTTGGAATAAGATACTATTAATAGCATTTTCTCATAATTTTTATATACTCTAGCTTAGAAAATTTCCTTAGTCAAAGACGACTTCAATATTTTGTCTCACATGACAAGAGTGGTTTCTTTTTGTACTGTTCTAAATGTTGTCCTGGAATTTAAAATGTTTTCTTTGTTCCTTGCCAATATTTCCAATAAATCGATTAATATTATTTCATCACCTTCTGCATTGTAACAGTAGGCATCCCTTTTTTGTTTGCTTAACTGAGTTAAGCAATAAACTTGTTAAATTTATTTGTTTATAAAATACTGAAAATTACTTTGGATAAAGTAAGCGAGGGGAACAGCTGGAATATGGTAAAAGCACACTGAATGAACAGGAGAGTCGGGATCCAGACTTGCGGTCGGGTAGAAGTCCAGCCATCCAAGGAATGAAGAAGCAAATTAAAGAATCCAGTCTCATTCAACGATACACCTGGAACATATGAATACCAGGTATTTTCAAACATTTTTCCCTTTCTGAAATTTTTAAATTTGGATAGAGCAGAACTCAGAGGCCACGTTTGGGGTATGGGTCAGGGCTTTGCTCTTGACTGGGAACTTTATAATTAGAAAAAAAAATTGTATCTCAAACATGATGGCACACTGGTTAAAGTGGCTTAAATCCCCAAATCTGATAGTAAATACTGAAGAGGATGCGGAGCAACAGGACGTCTCACTTGTTGCTCATGAGTACGGAGAGCAGAGAGTTTACCATCTTCCTACAAAACTTAACATAAACCGTACAGAGTAGCATTTGTGCTTCTGGGTTTTTTTCCAACTGATTTGAAAGTTTGTGTTCACATAGAAACTGCACATGAATATTTACAGCAGTTTTATTCTTAAACCACCAAAACGTGAAAGCAAGCAAGATGTTATTTCATAAGCAAATGCATAAAAAAAATCTGTGGGACATCCCTATAACAGAATGCTATTTAAATACAAAAGGAACACATTTTTAATTCAAATACAATATGAATAAATATTAAACGCATTTTAATAAGTGAAAGTATGATCCATTCATATGATATTCTGGAGAAAGCAAAGCTGTAAGGAATAAGATTAGCTGTTTGTAAGGATTTGTGGAGCACAGTGTTTGACTACGGGAGACCCAGGGATCTTCAGGGGAATAGGCTAAACTTGTGCAGGGCTGTTGTGGTGGCCACATGTATCTATGCTTTTGCCAAAGCGCAAGGGCCTTCTTTGTACAAAGAATGAAAATCTACATGTACCAAAAAAAAAACCAAAAAACTAGGAGGTTAGCCCACCCCAGAGCCAAACTGCAGATTGAGACTAAAGAATCACACTGTTTTACAAATAAAAGACCTGATATCACTGAAGGATTGTGCGGGGGAAAGTGAGCACCTATATAATTCTGTAAAACAGATTTTTGCCTGGAGACTCTGTCACTAAATAGAGAAGGAACAGGGCAGAGTCACTGTGTTCTGGTTGGTAATGTTGTTTCTCTCAGGGATGCAGCTTTACAATTGATCGTGAAAATTCTACGCAAATATCCTCAATTGTTTACAAATTTAAGTAACTAATGGCAACTGGTAGAGACCCCCAGTTTCCACTGCCAGAAGGGGGATAGCAAAAGGAGAAGGCTGGAGAGAACCATGTGATATGAGATTAGAGTTGGAGTTACCAGTATGAACTCATCTTTAGATTAATGTAGAACAGAGCAGATATAATGACTCAGACTTGTCTTTTTTTGGACTGAAGATTTGATTTTGACCTAAAAAGTAGGAAGCTACGCAAAACAATAGTAGAAATTTATTATGTGTAGAGCTCAATGTTAAAAGAAAGCCAAAACATTGAATTATAATTATTAGTAGTATGGCAACTCTTGAGTGAAGATTCGCCATCACAAACATTATCATTTAAATTAAGAAAATTTTACTAGTTAATGATACTATAGTTATAATTATAAATTTAATGAAAAGTCAACAGATGAATTTGAAAAAGTACCTTACATGCATAATAGTTTAAAGGTGTTATTTAGGTATTAACAACAATATATGTTTCTATAGTTGATCTTAGCCAAAAAACTGAAAAGTGATGTTTTTCTAAACTTGGAGTATCTAAAAGTCAAAAAGTTACCTAGGTATTATTAAAAGCAGTATGGAGGTAGCTTAAAACATTAAAAACAAGGGGGCCTCCCTGGTGGTGCAAGGGGTTAAGACACAACCTATGAAGCTATCTGCAGCCACTGTGTAACAGGGGGAGGTTCCAGGTTTCCTGCCCTACCCAAAAGGGGGGTGGAGCTGAGCAGAGAGAGAAGCTGAAGAGGAGACTGAGGAAGGAAGGAAGCAGGATGGAGCCAGAAGGATACCTGGAGGAGGCACATGGAGCTGAGAGACACGTGAAGAAACTGCGCTTGCTTTTTGGTCGTGGATGGGGTGACACAGTTGTGGGTGAGACCCGTGGGGAGGTGACAATGGTGGTTTTTGTCTTGATTTTGATTTAGCTCTTTTCCCTCCAGACTTGTCTGGTGGTTTCTGATCCTTTTTTGTGGGTCCCACTGGAAGGTGCTTTAGACTTGTGGCAGGCTTTGGGACCTTGCTCTGGGCCAATCCCATTTAGATGGACTTTTACCCACGAGGAGACGGGTAACTGTGGGTGCTTGCTTTAGAAACTAGATTCTTTGCCTTTCCTGTGTTGTTTCCTAGTTGTATTAAAGTGCCTCCCCATTAAAGTCTCATATGTTTTGTGTTGATGCAGCGGATGGCAGAACCTATTTAGAGCAGGCAGGTTTGCAGGATCTGGGCTGCCCCTCTCCCTGCTCTGTAACAACTGCAGCATGCGTTCAATACTCATCCAGGGAGCTACCCACATGGCGCAGCAGACCTCTCCTGACTTGCCCGCTGCTCCCCTCAGCAGTGTATTTCAGTATATCTGCCTGTTCTGTTCCCCACTCTGTCTCTGGTGAATCCTCTCACCCTCCATACCTCTGGCCTGTACCCCAGTTCTTGTATGCATAAATAAATATTTTTAAAAAACATTAAAAACAGGGCTACCATATGGCCCAGGAACTCCTAGGCATCTGCCCCCAAAATCAAAAACAGTAATTCCCAAAAGGAAACCTGCACTCCCATGCTTATTGCAGTGCTATTTATCATAACCAACTTATGGAAACAATCTAAATGCCCCAAAACAGATGAATGGATCAAGAACCAAACCAATAACAAGCATGAGAAATCTGGCTATAGAATTCAGCTACCAGAGTTGGGGGGGGCAAGGTATAGGGGGGCCCCAGAGCCCTCTCTTGGAGGACTATGGGTGCCTTGGTGATGGGTGTGGCTTGGTAACATACCTCTGAAGAGATGTGATCCTAGATCCCTGAATGCTGAGACTTAACCCCTTGTGCCACCAGGGAGGCCCCCTCTATTACTTTTCTTCTAATATCAGTATGACGTATTGACAATAGAGGTAAGCAATGAATTTCTAAAACAGCTGTAATCCATTTAAATGAAAAATTGTGAATATTCCTCTGTAAATCATGAAAATCGAAGAGGAATCAAATACTTCTCATCTAAATGTGTCTTCTTAAAGTCTTTTCCATAAGTAGAAAGTTAGTTTTCATGGCCTCTAGAGAGCCCCTCTAATGTCCTAAATGCCTGCAAGTTTCTTCTCCCATTTTCCTTTTTGTATTATGATACAAAATGCATTGCTGGTGAGAGCTCTTAGTCCCCCATGGATATCCCGCAGGGGGAATGCCCATTCACACTGGCTTCCCTCCCCTGGAGAGAATTTCTCTCAGGACCTGTCCCAAGTCTATTTGTTGGTTTAATCAATTAAAGAGTAAACTAAAAATAAGGAGGAGGAGAGGTAAGCTACACTTTTTGCTAATACTTGTTCATTTTAGCAAATTTGTGTCATGAGCTGAACAGTGAAGAAATGCAACCCTTATCCTAGAAACGCTTCCTGTTAAACAAAGGTTTGCTAGTTTTCCTATTTTTATTTCTCCTTGAATAATCAAGTTTAAATAAAAGTTTTACTAAGATAAATTGTATTCATTCTTGAGAGTATCTCATATTGAAGTTGTTGATTCTCAACACTGACTTTTAATTCATTTTTTTAAGAAAGCAGATCTTGTAACTGGATCGAATTGATTCTAATATAATTCCATAGTCCCAACCTACTTTAAAAGAATGTCAAAATTAATTAAACTGGAAAAATAACCACAAAAATATAGGAGATGTTATGAGACAGTTCATAATTTCTATCAACTATAACTCATTTATTATTAGTTATGCAATTTATAGATATACTAAATATATTTATAATAAGCATATGAGACATTTTTATAGTACATAAAGTTTTGAATTTATAGTTTGTCAATTTTCTGTTACATTTTCTGATAGATTATTGAATAGAAAGCCACACCACTGTTCAGTTTCATGAATCTAAATAAGCCTTTTAAATCTGTTCTTGTTTCAATGTTCCCATTCATAAAATTAGAATAAAAATTGCTTCTTTTTTTACTTCTCCACTGTATTTTATTTATGGTCATACTAAAAAAAGCTAAATTAATAGAAAGAAGTTTGTTTGAATGCATATTTCTTCCCGTATCCTTTTGCAGTGCTCTTTCAGTTGCCCCCAGGCCTTCTAACTTTCACATGCACAGATCTTTGTGTTTCTCATTAGATTGTCTATTTCTGAAAAGGCAGTAAAACCTCTGCCCAAGATCGTAGACTCCACCAGTTGCATTTCACTCTGCAGTATCTAGTGGGAATAACCAAGGGAAGCATGACAAGAAGGAAAGAAGTAGGGAAAGGTGGGAAGGAGCCAGGCAATAGGGAAGGAGGGAAGACAGGACAGGCAGGTGAATCACCAATAGACATTTGATCTCATTGTGTCTGGAAAATACAGCAAGAATCACTTCTGCATTTTAGCAGATGATCTGTGCCTCTGAGTCACCATAAGGACAAAAATAATCTACGAAATAAGGATATAAGAGAATGGGTAAAAGGAAGATGCTTTTGTCAGGATCTGAACTCTTTGTTAATAGAAGCAATCATTAAAAAATTAAATGTGACCATCAATTGAATGCACCTTCACTCTAAATAAAATCTTAATTAGATTATAACGGCTTTGAGAAATTCCTTTCACTAAAGGAGGCAATTTTCAATGGCAGCAAACTGATAATAAATAATAATAAAAACAAAATAAGACTTTTCTTCTATAATCTCATCTCCCCAAAGTACATTTATAGAGCAAATATCCATTATCTGCAAATAAGTAGAGCCATGAAATTTAACCAATCAGATTGAACTGTTCACCAGGAAGAATATTAAAAAATAGTATTATCTTCTTTATATGTTATTAGGAACAATAAAAATATTAGGAACAATACAATGAAACAAAATTTTTACACACTGACCCTAGTTATTTTTACTAAAACAAATATTTTCATCCCTTATTTCTTTTCTTTTTACCATTTCTCCAGTTCCATCTGTATCTCAGCTATGAAGAGTGAGCTTAATAAGACTTACTCAGATGTGATTGAGTTTATCCTTGTAGGGTTCACAACCTCTCCAAAGTTACAGATCCTTTTATTCCTAGTATTCTTGCTGCTCTACGTGGCCATTGTGGTGGGAAATATCAGCATGATATTAGTCATTAAGATGGACTCCAGACTTCACACTCCTATGTATTTCTTCCTTAGAAACTTGTCCTATTTAGATTTGTGCTACTCCACAGTCATTGCGCCCAAAACTTTAGCCAACTTCTTGTCCAAAGAAAAGAAAATTTCTTATAATGGCTGTGCAACCCAATTTTTCTTCTTTGCCCTTTTTGTCACAACTGAAGGCCTCCTTCTGGCTGTGATGGCATATGATCGCTTCTCTGCCATTTGCTCGCCTCTCCTTTACCCAGTGCAGATGTCTCAGAAGGTCTGTGTTCGGCTGGTGACTGGGTCCTACATTTGTGGAAGCATTAACTCCATGGTCCAAACGGGTTTCACCTTCAGTTTGCGTTTCTGTGGAGAAAACAGATTAGACCACTTTTTCTGCGATGTCCCAGCCCTGATCAAGATCTCATGCATGGACACCTTTGTGAATGAGATCGTGCTGTTCATTCTGTCTGCTTCCATCATCATCAGCACCACAGCTGTCATTCTGGTTTCCTATGCCTATATCCTCTCCACTGTCCTGAAGATCCCTTCCACCAGTGGCCGGAGTAAGACTTTCTCTACCTGTGGCTCGCATATAGCAGTGGTGAGTTTATTCTATGGCACTGTGTTCTTCATGTATGCCCAACCTGGGGCCATCTCTTCATCAGAGCAAGACAAGATCGTAGCAGTGTTCTACACACTCGTGATACCAATGCTGAACCCTCTAATCTATAGTCTGAGGAACAAAGATGTGAAAGATGCTGTGAAAAGAATTTTATGCAGGAAACGATATTTATAAAACATAATGAACAGATTTTTTTCCCTCCAGGTCCTAGTTATTTTTGTTCTTGTGAAATTACTATATTAAAGATATTTGCAAGTATGACAGCAAATACTTTTCTGTTTTGCAAAATAATTTTCTTATAAAATAGACTGTTATTTTATTTGCTTAGAATATACTAAAACATGTTCTCAATTTATGATTTAATATTTTCATTTCAAATTTACTTTAAGAAGTAAATATTAAGGGCCTCCCCGGTGGCGCAGCGGTTGAGCGCTGGGTTGCGAAGCTGCCCGTGACCTCTGCGGCGCCGGTTCGATCCCCGGCTGCTCCCCGGCCACCGGAGGAGGGTCCCACATGGCGCGCAGACCTCTCCTGCCGCCCGCTGCTCCCCTCAGCAGTGTACTTCGGTCCTTCTGCCTGCTCTGCTCCCCGCTCTGGCTCTGGTGAATTCTCTCATCCTCCCGCGCTTCTGACTGTACCCAGTGCATGTATAAACAAACAAACAAACAAGTAAAATAAATAAATAAAGCATGCCTCTATTTTAAAAAAAAAAAAAAAAAAAAAAGAGAAGTAAATATTAAGAGCTGCTATATAATGATTAAAGTAACATTGTGTATGTGTTTTCTATTCTTTAACTTTTTCTTACTATAAAGCAAGCAAACTGATATTTGAAAGAAATAAAAGGCCTATTGTGTAGGTGGTAAAATAATAGTTACGGTTACATAGAACTCTTTTGAGTAAAAGACCTGTTTCCAGGTTTTTTTATTCACCCAGGTTTATATTCTGAGGAGTATCATCCTTAGAATCACTATTCCTATAAAAAGGGGACCCACAGTAAATTATTTGAGATACAGCTATTTACATATATGTAGCAATAACATTCTACCAGTTTTTATTTCCCCATTTTCTACTTAAGGTTTTATAATAATAAAAGGTAATACATAAAGAACAGGTGCAACATGTCACATTCAATTTTTATCACCATTTTCAAATGAGGAAACTGAGGTATTTGGAGACTAAGTAGCTTGGTGTAGGCAAAATGCAACATATCTTCTAAAGCATGTGGAATATTTTAAAAAGGTAACATCACAACCTAGAAAAAGCAATTTCAAAAAGGAGGTATATATCAGTTATTCAGTCCTGGAATTACAACAAACCTGACATAACCCTTTCAATATTTGTGCAAATATTATGTTGTGTTTCTATTTTCTTTTAACATTTTAATCAATGTTTTGATTTAGAGCAGTGTAATTTCTGTATATAATTTCAGTTATTGACCTTTTCTCTTTTAATATGTTATGCATACTTATGCACTCAAAGTCAGATAAATACTTTTATTTATTTTCTAATCCTGGTCCACAATAGAAACTTCACTTGTTTCATCATCTTGCTTGCTTTGGTTAGCCAAGGGGGTGAGTCAGTCTGAGACCAGTGTCAGGGTTCTTATTATTTTTTAAGATGATTTATTTTTTTTTTAAATTATAAGTTTGAAGAAGCTATTTGACTGTATAGTTTATTAAATAAAATGACATATGACAGAAGTAAGAAGCATAATAATTTCTACCAGCCCTCCCCCCACCAAACACCATCCACTGTGTTCCCTCTTAAACTCAGGTCCCCAAGATGTTTATTGATGTCCAATAGATTTGAAAGTACTTTATGTTGTCAAGTTGTCTGTTATTTGAATGTCCAATATTTGGTTTTCTCATTCTGACTTGCTTTGCTGCATATAATTTTTTCAAATTCTCTTCATTTTGTTGAAAATGGCTGCATTTCATCCTTTCTGTAGCTATTTAATATTCTACTATATCTATGTTCCACATTTTTTTTTATCCTTTTGTCCAGGGAAGGAGATTTAGGCTGCTTTCAAGCCTATGTATTGCAAATAATGCTGTTGCAAATGTTAGAACATACGGAGTTTTTATTGATGGTTACACATTATGTGGTTAGCTGCCCAAGAGTGGGATTGCTAGGTCATACGGTATTTCTATTTTCAGATTTTAAGGTAAATCCAGATTTATTTCCATAATGGTTCTTCCAACAGGATAATAGGGTCATTTTTCTCTGCATCATCTATACCACTTATTGTTGAGGATATTTTTTCATTTTTTCATACCGCCCCATTGAGTGTAAGGTGAAATTTCATGGTAATTTTAATCTGTATTTCTTTTATTAGGAGTGAGGATGAAGTTTTTTTCATGTTTTGGTCTTCTTTCATATCCTTGGCTACATTTATTCCTGGGTAGTTTACTATTTTTGATGTGACTGAAAATTATATTTTCATAATGTCTTATTTCTGATAGTCTTTTGAGTCTAAAAAAGAGCAACAAATATCTCCAGGAGATTCACCTGAGCTCCAAAGACAAACACAGGCTAAACGAAAGGTTGGAAACAACTCTACAAACAAATGGTGCCTAGAAAAAAGCAGGAATAATGATATTTATATCAGATAAAATAGACTTCCGGCTAACAAGGTAACAAGAGACAGAGATGGAAGTTACTAAGGGGTCAGTACACCAGGAAAATATAATACTCATCAATACACATGCAGCAAATAAGAAACACCAAAAAAGTATAAGACAAATTTTATTAAATCTGAAACCAGACATTGGAAAGAACAGCAACTTTCACCAGTGGACAAATCAACCAGACAGAAAATCAAAAAGTAAACAATAACTTTGAATGAGGAATTGACAACATAGATTTAATGGACATATATAGAATACTGCGTCCACTAAAAGCTGAGTATACACTTTTCTCAAATGCACAGGGAACATTCTCCAGGATCAACCAAATGCTGAGTCACAAAACAAGTGACAATAATTTAATGAAGACTGAGTCATATCAAATATATTTTTTGATCATAATGGTATCAAATTAGAAATCAGCCACCAAAAAAGTAGGAAAAAATCTAATAAAGAGATTAAACAGCATATTAACGAGTAACCATTGAATAAGCAAGGAAATCAAAAAAGGAAATTGAAAAATGCTTGGAAACAAACAAAACAAAAATGAAAACACACCCTTTCAAAAATCCACAGGATGCAGGAAAAGGAATACTAAGAGGAAGCAAATAGTAGTAGGACCATATCAAGAAACAAGAAAGAGCTCAAATGAACATCCTCGTCTCTAAACTTAAGGTATTGAAAAGGGAAGAACAAACAAAACCACAAACAAGTAGGAGGAAAGAAACATAAAAAGTTAGAGCCGAAATATGTGAAAGAGATCTGGCTGCAAAACGGAGGCAACCAGAAGGGGAGGGTGATGGAGAGGGTGGGAGAGGCCCAATGGAGCTGGGGGTGGATTACTGGGGCTTTGGTGATGGGCATAATGTGAAAACATAAATTTGTGGAGGTCTGAATCTATAACACTTAACACAAATACAACGTTGTGAAGCAACCATACTTCAGTGCAAAGGATGTAAGGTAGGTCTCATGAAATTAAATATAATTAGATAGTGTGTTGTCTAAGAAAGTAAATTTTCCCTTCAATAAGATTATTCATAGTGTTGAATGCACCTCAGACTTCAGCTAAACATAGACATAGTGCATCAAATTTTTTCTAATTCCTTGTCATATTTCTGATCTAAGGGGAAAACCATTCAGGCTTTTATCTTTAACCTTGTATTTCTGAAGCTGGAACTGCCATGGGACAACACCAGCTTCTCCCGCCCCCACCCCACCACCTCAGTGGCCCCAACAGGTACACCCCTAAAGGCACCTAAGGCAGGAGCTGCTGCTTGTGGGCAGCGCCTCCCTCCACTGGCTCCTGGAGGGTTTGAACAGGGAGCCCCTAAGACTCCCAGGACAGAGCGGGAGTTTCCCGCAGGCTGCCTGGGTAGGATCCAACTCCGTGGACTGGGCCTAGTGGTCACCCCAACATTGGATTTGAGAGCTACAGCCCTGTTCCTCCCATTCCCCACTCCCACCCTTCCCCCCATGTTACCAATGTTACTTCACTTAAAAATTAATTTAGTATGAAGTTATTAAAATATTGTTAAATGCTGTCTTATGAAAACTAGTGATTTCAAACCAGTAGAAGAAACACTTCAACGCTCTGGCACAAATGCCAGAGGTCTGTGACAATCTACCACGTTTTGGTAAAACTTACTGTGGAGCCAACATCTCTCTAAAATGCAATGGGTAGAATATGTTTTAGAACCCAAGATAAAGCTGGATGTGTGCTATGGAAATAAACGCAAAGAAGCTAAATGGATGCCTGGTTATATAAACCTGGTTATATAAACCAACCTGGTTATATAAACAGCTTTAGTGATGTCATTTAGGTTTCCATTAGCATCAGAAAATTAAGAAATGAATTAGATCACGAATTTGTGTTTTATAGGAACAGAAATTCCTCCAGTGATATTTGTAAAAACAGAGCAATGAAGAACAAAGAGTATCAGATTCAGAAGAATTTTATAATTAATAATCACTTTGATTGACAGAGTGAGAACATTACTATTCTTCTAGGAAGGAATAAAACTAAATTCATTGGTACTCAAGCTTCTACATAGGGACTGATTTTACTATAGGTGGGAATCTTAAAAAATAAATGAATGCTGCCCACACTCATTTCATTAATGCACAATTTTCAGTATTCAGATTAATTAAGAATGAGGTGTGATCCAGGAATCAGAATTAAAAGCAAAGAGAAACAAAACTTTCCCCAAGAGATTGTGAAGTATGGGTAAGTTTGGCAACACAGACCTAATTGACCTCCAGGGTCTTTTATTTATTTAATAAAACTATATATATATATGTATATGTACCTATATACACATACTAAGCATATAGTTTCTAGTTTACCTTCTTGGCTTTAAGATTAATTATATGTATAGGTCAAATGACTTAGAATTTATGACAGATAATATAGGAGGAATTTTCAGTTCTGTCTTTGCATTATATAAAAAGATATTTCTCGGGATTTGAAATGTTGGTTTTGATAAGTGAAAATGAGGTACATATGATTTAGAAATAAGTAGGTCTATTTATGGAGTGTAATCAGATAGTTGAATAAATCCAACATAAACTATGAAACATTTTTTTGTAACTACACTTTCTTCAAAGTTTCCTTTAAAGGTGTAATCAGCTATTAAAATTCTTCAATGAAGTTTCTTTTGGAGTCTGCTGATTTTCAAGTAAGGTTTTTAAAAATCATATATTTAATGAAAATGTTTTCTTAATTTGGTATACATTTCTCTTTTTTCTGTACAGTCGCTCATATATCCATTATTTATTGAGCAATATCTATTTTCCGGGTACTACATATTCTATTAATTGATATACACAATTTAATTTAATCTTTACAACAGTGATTCTACCAGGTAGCTGTTTGAAGATATGTTTTGCTGCAGAGTGACTCACTGAATTTGAGCAATTTGCCCAAGATAACTTAGCCAGTAAGTGACAAAACATGGATTAAAACTCATATTTATATGAATGAAAATGCTATTTCTTTAACTAATAAAACGCTTAGACTTCACAAGAAGTAATAGAAGCAAATCAGTTTCACTTCTTCTGATTCTATTGTACTTTTAATTTTGTGAAAATTTCCAAATAAAAATATGACATTAAGTTCCTTGAAGGGAAGGGCATTTTTTTGTTAGTTCAAAAATTAAATATAGCCATGGAATCACAGAACTGTAACATAAAATTTCTTTTATTAAAATTGGATTTAATTTTTCAAGTATCTTAAACATGATTAATATTTTATCTGTGTGTCTCTTCAGTGCTTGATATTAAACTTGATAGTTATTTAAAAAAGGAAAATCTATGTAATATAGGGTTTTTTTTGTCCTATTTATTTGCAAACATCTTCTGTTTCAATAATGTATCTGTACAAGGAAAATACCTGCTGGGGAAGTAAATCTTGTACTTCAACCGTAATGCTTCAATATAAACATACTCATTCATATATCTAATTGTTAATGTTCTACATTAAAAGTTACTCTAGAGTTTGGCTGCAACTGGGAAGTAGAACTATGAACAATCAGGGATTAATAATAGATGACGTTGGAGGCAGAGGTTAAACAGTGTACGGTTAATATAGGACTTTGATTTATCTTTTCGGGTGACTTTCTTTAAGATCGATGCTTTATTCTATTTTGATAACTAGTAGGCCCATGTTTTCCAATGTCTTCTATAGCAGAACGACTTCCCCACACCAGTCATTTCACTACATCTTGTAAAAATGGAGTTGCCATGTTTTCACCCAATTTTCCATTTTTTTCAGTCTAAGTAATTATAAGTGCTTGTTTGTTTATTTGACTAACATTTGTTACACCTTTAAATCTTCCAGTAAGTTTAAATATTGCTTTTCACACTCAATTTCATGTTACCCTTCTAATAACCTATATATTAAATATGATGTATTTGGGTACTTGCAAATGTAAAAGTATTCTGTTGGATGTGTTGCCAGGAAAGTGTCATTTTCAATTAGCATATTATCTTTTATTGGGAACTTCAGGAATCAAAAGTTGACAAAAGTTTCCACAGTCTTCATGATCACCCACTATTTTTTTCAGATAAATTTTTCAGATAGCGCTCAGCTATGAAGAGTGAGCTCAACAGGAATTACTCAGAGGTGACTGAGTTTATTCTGCTGGGATTCAAAACATCTCCAGAAGTGCAAATCCTCTTATTCGTACTCTTCTTGCTTATCTACATGGTCATTGTGGTAGGAAATATCAGCATGCTAATTGTTATTAAAATAGACTCCAGACTTCACACACCTATGTACTTTTTCATCAGAAATTTGTCCTGCTTAGACATCTGTTACTCTACAGTCATTGCTCCCAAAACCCTCGCTACTTTCTTGTCGAAGGAAAAGAAAATTTCTTACAATGGTTGTGCAACACAGTTCTTTTTCTTTGCTCTCTTTGTTGGCACTGAAGGCTTTCTTCTGGCTGTGATGGCATATGACCGCTTCTCAGCCATCTGCTCACCTTTCCTCTACACGGTGCGCATGTCTCAGATGGCCTGTGCCCGTCTGGTCCTCACCTCCTATATCTGTGGAAGCATCAACTCTATGATACAAACAGGTTTTACCTTCAGTTTGCGTTTCTGTGGAGAAAACAGATTAGACCATTTTTTCTGTGATGTCCCAGCCCTGATCAAGATCTCCTGCGTGGACACCTTTGTGAATGAGATCGTGCTGTTCATTCTGTCTGCTTCCATCATCATCAGCACCACAGCTGTCATTCTGGTTTCCTATGCCTATATCCTCTCCACTGTCCTGAAGATCCCTTCCACCAGCGGCCGGAGTAAGACTTTCTCCACCTGCACCTCGCACATCACTGTGGTGAGTTTATTCTATGGCACTGTGTTCTTCATGTATGCCCAACCTGGGGCCATCTCCTCGCCAGAAAAGAGTAAGGTTATAGCTGTGTTCTATACTCTTGTCATCCCTATGTTGAATCCTTTGATTTATAGTCTAAGGAATAGGGAGGTGAAAAATGCTGTGAAAAGGATATTGTTGAGAAAAACATCTTTTCATTGATTGAGCTGTAAAACTATATAATAGGGTAAAAGCAATATTTTCAAATATTTGTTAGGAAACAGCTTGAATTTGGAAATTCAAGCTATTGGAATTAGGAAATGATTCCAGAAGTTTCAGAAGATTGAAGTTTATTTTATTTTTAACATCAATAGATTTTTTTTAAATGAATTTAAAAATCAATATAGATTTTTAATATCCTTATAATTCTTATATGGTGTGGTGTCTAGTTTGTTGTAATTTTGTTTAGGTATATTCAAAATTGCAACTCATAGGTACAGTACTATTAATTAATGCACATTTTAAATCTATTAGTATAATAGGTTCAAATACGTGATCTTTACATATCTATCTATCTGGAAGAGGGAGAAATATTTTTACTACTGAATGTTCCAGGTTTTTTCTCTAAATCATAGTCAACTTCGTCACTGTACAATCTTTGTAAATGAGAATTAGAAATGTTATTACATTGTAAATTATTCACTTTGCCCAAATACTTATACAAAGGAGGGGTGCAAATTATTACACCAATGATTTCCTTAATAATATCTTTATATTATCCAAACATTAATGATGCTATCAAGGAGCAAAAACATAAAAATAAATAAATTATTGTGATTTAGCTTTTGCAAAACTATGTTGTCATGGGAAGTCTTAATAATAAATGTTTTATAATATTTCCAGTATTATTTATGCAATTTGCCTCATTATTTATGGTTCGTGGATCATTTTCATAACACATATTGACTGAGAATCCTTAATTTAAGTTGGAAAAGTTATTAATTTAATTTGGAAAAGTTACTGTCACAATTATTTAGTGTTTTGAATGCCTGTGGGTAGCTATCATTTCTATTTGGAATCCCTTTATCTTACATTTATACTTAACTAAATTTGCCAACAGTTTGATTTCACATCATTAGAATTTTGAGTTCCATATCACTGATTTCTGTGGCTCTAACTCTCCTGGTATCAGGACAGTTGTAAGCCATTATTGCATGGTAACTATAATTAAGAAGAATGTATAATATATTTGAATTTTTCTAAGAGAGTACGTTTAAATGTTCTCACTACAAAAATAAAAAGGCAGTGTTATGAGTTAATGTGTTGAGTAAACTTCTTATATACGCATCAAATCATTATGTTATACATTTCAAACTTGCATAATGTTATATGTCAATATAGCTCAGTAAAGGTGGATGAAATAAAATATACACATGCTGGCACATGAACTTTCTGTTCTATAGATAACTGTGTTTTCTTCATAATTTTAATACAAACAGAGGAACCAATTTAGTAAACTTACTTGTAAGCTTTAGCACTAAGCAAAAATTCAAAGAAAAATTCAGACAAAAATTGTAGCTTTGCTCTTTGGTGCATTGAAAGTAGGAGCCATTTTTCATCAGCAGAAAAAAACAAAATGAAGAGAAAATATTTTTAAAAAGTATGGAGATTCAATTGTGTAGAAAAAGACGAGCAAGTAAATATAGACAATTAAGAATATTTTGCCCATCAAAGGGTGTTTTCCTGAAATTACATGACAAACCACAACCTAAAGTGTATTTTCACAATGCACACAAACAAAAAGATTATATACTGAGTTCTTACAAATTTATAAGAAAGGCACAATCAACCAATAGGAAATGGGAGAAATGCATTAGCGCACATTTCACAGAGCAAACATTTACATTTCACACGCAAACAATATGGCCAGTAAATTTTGCTGGGATGTTTTATGTCAATAGTGATTAGAGAAATAGAATTTAAGGTTGTAGGAAAATTCTATTTCACACCCATTCAGTGGGAAATTAATGAAAAGGTCTGACTATGCCAGTGCTAAAGAGTACATGGTCTGTCACCTGCATCTCTCAACAGGACTGATATTGTTTTTATGAGAGCAAAAATTATTTTTTGTTGTGATGAAAGAACTTATTTTTTTATTTATAATCTTATATAATCATTCACTTTGTTGCTTATACATAAAATGTAAATTCTGTTTTGTGTATAGATATACACAATATACAGTTATATTGTGTGCTTATAATATGAGCATTTCCTGATGGTGATTATAAAATATACAAAAATGTAATGAAAAAATTATAATAAAGAAAAAATAAGGTTGAATATACAGATGCTTTACAGGCTCTATTTTACATTACATTCTATACTGTTGGAATGTTCATTTGAATTGAGTTGAATCTATAAATCAGTTTGGGTATATCTAATCTCTTGCAGTATTGAGTGTTCCAGTTATGAATATGACATATTTCTCTAATTAGGTCTTCTACAATTTCTAATTTTTTAGTGTAGGGGACATACACATTTGTCAGATTTATCACAAAATGTTTAATATTTTTATCCTATCAAAATGAAGGATTTCATAAAAAGAATCTTCTTTTTATAAAAACCTTCTTTTATAGGTCTATTCAAACTCCTCCAGAAATTTTAGGTAGAAATAATATATTCCAAATCTTATTTTAAAATTTTCATAGTTATTTTATTATATTTTTATTGAGGTTACATTGATTTAAAACATTGTATATGACTTAGAATTACAGGACACACCCTTCAGGTGTATGTTATCACAAGACATCTACCACCAGGTACCCATAACCCCCCACCATAGTTCATTGTGCCCCTTTGTAACCTCCATTCTATAGTCAGATTTCTAGGGTTTCCTGTTTGTAGGGTTTGCTGTTCTGTAAAAAGTTTCTATAATTTGTTTTTACCTCCCTAGCTTAACTCCTAAATATGTTATTTTTCTTGATGCTTGTATAGTAGAAATTCAGCTTAATTTTCTCTTCAGATCCTTTGTTATTAATATAGAGCAATGCAACTAACTTTTCTGTATTGACTCTGTGTTCTGCTACTTTGAGGCATTTTTAAAATCTAGTTCTAATAATTGATATATGTGGACTATATTGTGTTTCTTTTTTTATTACTATTATTAGGATTGACAGTCTGAATAATTTCAGTGTATTTTGGGCAATAAAGACAGTACTTACTTGATCCTGGGATGAGTAAGCAAAGAAAATAATCTCCTGAGGATTAAAGGTCAAATGAAAGAATTATAATCTGAATTGGTAAGTTAAATTATGGAAGGATAGTATCTGTACATTTAAAACTTTAATATATTGATTAAAGAAACTGAAGTAAACACAAAACATGGAAAGATAACCCATGTTCATGAACTGGAAGATTTAATATTGTTATAATTGCCATACTATCCAAAGTTATTATTATTTTTACATTATTGTATATATACATTGCAGCTTCTGACAATAATTATAGTTTTTTGTTGATTTTGATTTACTTTCTTATAGTATTCAATAGCATGATCCAGTCTTATATTTACGTTATTTAATAACATCAGCTCTCAATAATTTAGTAATTATTTTTAGCAATGTACATGTCATATATACAACCACCAACATCAGAAAGTAATGTTATTACATTACTATTATATCAACCTCAGACTCTATCTTCTCAAAATGATCCTATATAGCAAAAGGATATTTGTTAGAAGCAGAGATTGTATCCAGTTGTTCTCATGTACTTTCAGTCTCCTTCAAGTCTAACAGATTCTCAAGATTTTGAATTTTCATGACATTAAGACTTTTGAATATTATTTGTATGGTACTTTATAGAATTTTCAAGGAAGTTTCTCTATGACTAGATTCAATTTACAAACGCTTTATAAGACGATTACAGAAGTGTTGTTACCGTCTCCTTGTGTCATTGCAGGTAGCACATAAATTCATTCTGTCATGTTCCTGATAAATTTTACTTAATCAGTTAATGAAAATCTATCTTCTGCTAGATTTCTTCCTTTAAAGTTAAGCATTGTTCATTGAAATAAATAAATATAAAGGTGCATTTAATAAGATATAACAGCATAGCTGGCATCTTATTTTATTAAATGGGTTTATCATTTTACTAATCAATCTTGATGCAAAAATTGTCCTCAGTTTGGCCAGTGAGAGCCCCTTAGATGCTTCTATGTCATTCTGAAATGTTCCTATTTATCTATGAGAACTTACTTTATAGCAAAAGTGATAAATTCATAAGATATAAATAATTCAATAAAGACATGCCTACACATATATGCATAAACCGATAGTAGAATATTTTGTTAAAGAATGGGGTATTTTTAGCGGAGGTAGATCCAAGATAGCATCAGAGGAGATTCTTTATTTCATTCCTTACAGGACCATCCTGGTTGTAAGGCAAACATCCCAGGCTGGGCAGGTTCATTGTTGATTCAGGCAAATGGAAAAGGAATCTTGGAGCCTAAGTACCTGACACCCCTTTAATGTTAAAGCAATGAAAAGGAGGCTAATTTACTCCACTTTTCCTACACTGGTTAATCAGTGGAATACTGTACTCAAAGAGTACTATGCCTAGGGACAAGCTAGAATATCTCTTGGACATTGGAGACGGTTCCGACTATATCAGAAGAGACATAAAGTATATTCATGCTTTAGTGAACAAGATGTGGATGGGGAGACATTTGGAATGTAGACTGGAACAGAAGACTTCTGTACAAACTACAGTACTACAACTTAGCCAGCAGCCCCAGGAGAAGAGAGTCAAACAGAGCAGAGACATACACTTTTGATTGAGGATAAATATCTGCAGAAGAGCTGGAGTGTTTGCAGTGGCTGAGATCTCCAGTGAAGGAACATGTACAGTGCACTGGCTTGTGATCCTTCTTCCACAACATTTGGTACTAGCACATGCCACTGAGCACATTCAGAGGCAGCAGATTCTCAGTTCTGGAACAGGAGAGGAAGGCTATAAGATGGTACCAAAAACATAAACCTGCTCCCCCCTAGTGACTGGACCCCTTCAAGACCTCCTCACCTCCTTACTCAGCAGTTGCACGATCAGGTCTCATACATAGAGAAGCCTAAAAAACCAAACACCCCAAATCATATAAAAACCACAGTGCCATCTGCTATAATTGAATAAGTAGTTCAAATCTCTACAGTTGCAAACAACAAAAT